TTTAGGCTTATAAACCAAAGCTTTTGCAAGATATGAATTTTTTATGATTTAGACAGTTTTTAGTGAAAATTCACCATTGAAAACCTAAAAACTTGTTATCACTTTTTAGATACCTCTATCGACTCAGGAAAGACTTATTTCATTTAGATATAGGTCCCTAAGAGCCGCTGAGCTTCTCCTTAATTAACTCATATCTTCGTCAAAAAGGCGCATGAGCCCAAACAAACTTGGGGTTTTTCACTACTGATTATTCCCTGCATGATGAAAATAGTCTGAGTCGAAAAGCTTTTAATCACCTCGAGAGGTTCCCTCGTGAGTGTGTAGGCAACGGACAAGAGTGTGCTAGTGTAATTGAGTAACTGTTCAGTTTTCCATTGGTATAAATCTTCAGTATCCAACAACGACATTAAATGTTGCATACATAAAGCAATAGCAAACAGACACCAATCATGACCTATTGAATCTTGTTTATCAGATAACTGACTGCACTAATTGACAAGTAGTCAGAAATAATGTTGATATAGACAAATCAGTACCTATTTGCAGACCAGAATAAAGATCGTGAGAACCACAACAGATTAAATTAATATAATCTTCTTAATATTCGTCGTTAACGTCTTTAATTAGTGACGACGACGATGAGTATCCGTTTAGATATTGAGTTCGATTATGATCATTCAAGACAACCTTCTTATCATTATTATTTGCGTCGGTGACCGTCTAAAAGTAAATAATCAGAACAAAACTTAGATACAGTCACATGGGATAATTCTGATAATCGCTTAAAACTTTTCGAATATTTTGGCGCATTTTGGTCGTTTTTAACAGGAGAAAGCCAGTATTATGATGGTAGATGGACTCTTAGCTACCTACTGATGTAAAAATCCAGAATATTGAGGAGCTACATGATGTACAAGGTATAAGATTAGTGGATTGGAACTGTCATTTGAACCGGGAAGGATAATTGATTATTTAACGACATATCTCTTAATGGATAAGAATCGGTAGTGCTTTGGACTTATTTGCTATATACAGCATCATGTAAGTCCTCAATGTTCCGAACACATCTAGTACATGATGCACAAGGACATATCTTTTGATGAATGTTTGAGATTTTATGTTACTTTAAACTTGAGTCATTGCACATACGACCAATGCTCTTCTAAGTAAATATTAATATTAGATATGATGTTTTGAGATTTTTTTGTGTCAATAGAAAGAGGATTTTATAATGTAATTGAAAAGTTCCAATTATCGATGATCTAATTGCTAATTTAGACTGTAGCTTAAAGATTCTACTAATTTTAATGCACAAATATGCGTTAAAAATACTCTGTCTCTATTATATGCCCATTACTCGTTAAAAATACTCTTTTTCTCCCCAATTTTTAGATATATGGTAGCTTATAGGATTCTGAACAACTTTGTCATTTAGCATAGCATCGAATTGACTTCTAAGAGACGGTGAAGATTTTTTCTATCTATCCATGTGATTTACACGGAATTATCACAATTACACAATAAAAAAAGGACTGTCTTTTATTTTTCGTAATTTCTAATTAACTTATTTAGATTAGGTCCAAATAACTGACAATTCATATGGATGGTAGAGCAGAAAATCCTCTACAAGACAGTAGGGTCTGATTTGTGAACATCTGCAATTTAAATAATATATCTAGATGTATATCTGGATGTTCAGATATTCAGATAGTCTGATATTCAAGTTAGATATTTAGATATTCAAATGTTATGGAAATGGGGAAAAGGGAAGGTGGGGGCGGCAAGGGAAGATGAGAGTGAGGCGCTTCCTGATATTCGCCACCGCGAAAGAAAAGAGGAAGATATCTGAATATCTGAACATCTAGATATTATGTAAATTGCAGATGTTCACAAATCAGTCCGGTCTCCTACAAGATGGTGTAGCTTTTAGCCAGTTTACTCTAAGTTCCTGCTGAAACTAAATGGTTTAAGTTCATTCCAGCTATTTTGGCTGTAGGTATCATAATTAACCCAACTATAAACGTTCACTTATCACAATTACCCCAAATGAGGACTTATGATAACGCTAAACATATGCACTAGAGATTGATTAGAACTAATTAATGTTAATGAATTTTGGAAAAAATTTTTAATCAGTAGATAGCTAAGAGTCAGCTCTATCTATATATATAATACTGGCTTTCTCCGGTTAAAACTGACCAAAATATCCGAAAAGTTCTAAGTGATTATCAGAATTACCCCCTGTGACTCTATATAATCTTTGCTGATTTCGAGTGATCATAATACATGAATCACAACAGACCCTGCACGTTACGAACTTTTATAACTCGCAACCTGTCCTAAACTGAAGGAGAGTAGAGATCGAAGTCATCCTACATATAATTCGTATCAGAATGCTGATCATGGATAGTGTGTCAGTAATGAAGTATTCTATTATAAAAAAACTTATATTTCACTTTTCGCTGTAAACTTCTGCTCTTTCTTTGGTAAGTCGCGATTTCCAGTGAACTGTTCTACGTGTTGAAAACGAAACAGGTTTTACGTTTAGCAGTATAAACTGAAGATGGAAAGTAAGCTCTGCTTTGAGCTTTCCAGCAGACAGATGTTTAAGAAAAACATTTAGTGCTGTTATTTTTGAATCTGATTTTTTTCTCATGTTTATCTTGACTTGTAATCAATAAATTTTCTAATTTAAATTAACAAATTACTAACACTGCGTTCGACGACGTAAACCTTGATCAAACACTGGTGATGTATCAGCTAGAAATGAATAAAATACATTATTTAAACGTCAAAAATATACATTACAATTTTCTTTCTTACCATTAGCATTATTTGACGTATCGAGCTTGATATTATCGTAGATGGCGTCGTTATCTGATGATAATGGTTGATTCACTTTCACACACATGTTCAAATGCTCCTATGAATGAATAAACAAAATATGCAGAATATATCTTTAAACAAAATGGTGATAAAAAATACGCTACTCTAAAATCGACATATTTTCCAGTCCATGAACAACCATAATAACAAACAATATTTTTATCTTTCATTCTATTTTTCATATGCTTCCATTTCACGTTTGAAACCTACGTCAAAAATAATCTGAAAGAGAAGGAAAACAACAAATCTGTTAATAAATTAACATTTATTAAGCTTTTACTTCAGTTGGTAGTAAGAGTTGACGACAATTATAAACCAGACATTTTTGATCAGTTGAACTAAATAGAATTCGTGAATATAAAACTGAAGTTTGATTTGGCCGTTTATGAACAGACTTACTTTATAAGACCTTCAACACATCTTTTACAATAACGATGACCACATCCCGCTGACAAAGGTTCAATAAATAATTTTTTACATATTCCACAAATGTATCGATCATCAACTAGTAAATTAGCCATTTCCATGTCCATAGTGAAATTTGTCTAAATTAGATTTATTTGACGATCTAAAACACAAATTATCTTCCTAGATTATCAGAAATAAGTATACAAAAAAGACAACAGAATTTTAGCATACGAAAGAAGAAATGCAAAAGAACCATTTAAGTGTAAACTTAAGCCCACACAAAATTAGCATATGAGATATCAGAAAAACAGCTCAATAAGTTGCATTTGGATACATATACGGATTGCAATCAACTGAAGAATACAATCGTAGTCATTTTGAGTCTGGAACACTTTATATTTGTACTTATTCCTCTTGTTTATTTTACTTTTCATCCAAATTTATCAAATATTCTGCTATCCTCTTACTCACCAGAAACGTAAGTTCATCCATTTGTAGCCTCGCAAGAGTTCTACAGAATTGATTTTTTGACCTCATTTATGAAAACTCTTCGTATTTATAGTCAGAATCAGCAACTTAGGTTGAAAGTTAGTTCTCAGGTTTCTGTGTAAAACCGCTTGACAAGATAGGGACGGTAAGAAAAGTACAGAACAATGAAAGACCTGGGAAGGAGTCGAAACGAACGACTGAAGAAGTTGTCCTACCTGAAGTGACGCGGCACCACGGCAATCTCTCCCTTGTGAGATAGAGAAGTTTCTAAGGTTATAACCATCATCCGTGTAAAGAAACAAGCCGTGTTTTGTTTCGCGTATCTATGACTAACATGAGAAGCGGAGTGATAAAAGAAACAAATCAGTAAGGAACAAACAACAACATTCACAGATGAGAATACACTAGAATTCTATTTGAATCGTTTAGACAAATTATGAAAGAGAAAGAGCCGTTTATGCTGGGAAGTAATAAATGGCTATGCCATTTACTCTATTCTTTAAGCGAACGCACCACGGTTTCACCATGTTTGAAATGGAAAAATAAGTTAAAGTTCAGAGAAGTTTTTGTGGTCCTCATTGATTTTCCTAAAGCTCAACATTCAACACCGCCATCAGGAGTTACTCCTAAATACCGTTAGTATTAGTACACTGCACGTGTTGGCAATTACTTTCTTGGAGTTTGCAAACATCTCAGTACTTAATGCAACTTGATTGCTTAGATGTAAGCATCGTAACAGTAAAACATCATTAATCAATTCCACCTCTTAAAAATTTAAATGGAGAGCTCACTAATGATCGTGAAGACACAGCAAATCTATTAAATGATTAGTTTGCATTCAAAGGTAATACGAGTAGCAATGACGAAAGCATGACTGTAAAATTAACAAAAACAAACAAAAAGTTCAGTATCATCCATATCTCTCCAATGGATGTTGAAAACAATATTGATTAAACTATCACCATCTACTTGATAGAATGTAATGTTCTAGAAAAAACAAAGGTTAGTCAAGTTAATAAACGGGGCGTTTTTTTTACTATTTGCTGAGAAACACATCCATTCAAAAACAAGGATAATACTACATATACATTTCTAGTTTAAGTGTGCCGAGCTTACTAATCAAACATTTAAACATGATCTGAGCTTGAATCTAAGGTTTTTCAAATAGTTAAGTCTTTAGAATAAAAAAATGAACTAGCCTGTTTGCAAATGGGATTTAGACAACACCGTATGAAAGTTTATACTCAGATACGCCATCTACTTCGGTAAACCTATTCATTTTCATTGTGAGCTGTCACTTTAACTGAACTAGCGATCACTCCTGTTGGCAGATCAATCCAGGTTTCACCAGTCTATTCCTGTCTTATATTTTCTGCGTCGTCCGGTTGTTACAGTTAGCCAATATTAGTTTTTCTCCAAATAAGTAATATTTACGCAAAAGTTACTTGAAAAAGCCAGTTTAATTTTTCTGTAGGTATACAACAACGTTGAGTTTCAAAGTAAACACTGATGTCAGCTTGTACATGATGGAGTATCCTTTGTTTAGACGCCATTATAGTATACAACGTTATAGTAACATACTAAGTTCATCATTGATCTCGATAACGGGCAGCGTGTAAGTTCTGTATTTGATACAATCAATTTGTTATTTGAAGTAGATTTTGTATTATAAATAGCAGTTGTTAAAAGTGAGTTTAAAAAATCATGACAAAATGCTTTTCGTAAAGTTCATTCTTAACGAATCACAAGAGACTAGACTGTAAATGAGAAAACAAGAGGGAAAGTCAACATCTGGTCGGTGACTTACTGGAAGCGATCAGCTGATTTGTTATGCATCAGCTGATCGTTCTGACATGGTAATGCATTTTGACTTTTCTTGAAAATCACGGTGATCAAATCCGCGAGATTTTCATGCCAAAATATTAACCATAAGAAGAAAAGAAAAAGCCTAAAACGTTTTCTAGATTCCTACTGATTTTCTTTAATCACATTCAAATGCGTACATCGTACGGTGCATAGAGGTCCCCGCTATGCTTTCATTGGTCGACTACTTGTTTTCCTTTCCTGTAGTATTATACTGTAGTATTATAGAGTTAGAACATTTTTCACGGTTGGGCGCGAAGGCTAGGAGAGCCTGCGTCTAACTTATCCTCTGATTTTTGGACCTTTTCTGCATTCCATGTTATTTTATGCTGCTTTTTTCTACTAACAAGTATAGAACGAAAGAAAAACATGACAGACAGAATTTTATGTTTTTTTTAATTTTATCATTTAGTAATTATTTTTATTTTTAATTTATTTTTATTATTGATTTTAATTTATTTATTTTTTATTTTATTTATATTTTAATTTTATTGATTTTTTAATTTTTATTATTTATTTTAATTTATTGATTTTTTATATTTGCGCCCAGCAATAGCGTATCTTTTTTCACTGATTTACGGACGTGAAGCTGATTGGTAAATCACAAAATGCTTCATAAAAAGAAAGAAAACGCCGCAGTTTTCTTTCTTTCTAGATTGTGATTTTCTTCAAAATTTGTTTTCTCGGTACAAACTTCGAATATCGATAATCATGTTACAAGCTGTTTACAGTCAAACTGTCAAAAATTTCGGTAAGCTTAGTTTTCTTCTCGTTGACAATAAACATTAAGTGATCTTTCTTTTATTTTTTTTAGATGGTGTCGTTCATTTTGTTGAAAGATAGGCAATAAACGAAAAAAATTGGTTGTATTATATCCCTGTAGCTGAAAATTTTCAAGAAAAATTGAAAAAATTTGTTGATGAGAGTAAGTTAAACTATTTAAAAGTCAAAATAGTCTGTAACCTACATGTCTTTTTTTTTCAGGGCTCGATTCGAATGGACCGTCTTCGAAGCCATATCGTGAAATATCAAATTCAACTCGTGAATTTAGATTAGAACAGGATGCAACTGGTTATGGTACGTGTTGTTATTCAGCCGCCAAAACCAAGAGCAGGTCAGAAGTCGGCAGTACAACTACCACGTAAGCTACTGCAAAATATCCCCCTTATTTTAACTCTAAATGTATTTCTAGTCGTTGTAGGTGATCGTCTGCTTCTGAATCGTCATCAGACAATTCATTTAATTATTAAAAAAGCAATTCAATATCGTATTGACCATAATGGCTCATCAATGTCTATCAATCAAATGCAAAAAGAGCTGAAACGAACTTATTTTATTAGCACTGAAACAATTGCATATGTATTATCGCAGATGTAAGTAGAAAAAAAGAGCTTTTTGTTTTTTTATACAATTGCTTTCTCTTTTTAGAAACTCACCAGAACAAGATTTATTTACAATTGAAGCTAATCCTCCTGTTCTATCAACACAACAACAACAAACAGACATAAATAAAAAAAATAATAAAAACGATGATTCAGGTAAGAAGCTTATGAAACAGCTGATCATGATAATGGTCTTTAGCAATTGTCTATTAATTTTAGGAGATAAGAATGGTGGTAAATCGTTAAATTTGAAACAGAAAACTGGAAAGATAAAAACAACGACAGCAACCGATGAACAAATAAAACAAAAAGCTACAACAGTAAGTGAGCCTCTTGCTTTTAAGCCTTTCGTTCACTTAAGTTGCTGCGTTTTTTTCCACAGTAATTATCACAAGCAATTAAAAAAGAAAATAATCCTGAAGGTCGTGAGACCAAAAAAAAGAGGTAAGGAGCAAAGGAAGATCTTTCCTCTTAACTTCATGTATTTCTTCTTCTATGTTTTAGAAATGCACACGAATTACAAGATTTATTATCAAAGAATTACATGGTGGTAGGAAAGAGAAGAAAAGATTGACTGTTATTTGAACAGAAGTGAGATGACACTATTTTTTTTTGTACTTGTTTGTTAAATGTACCCCAATGTTGTTTTTCAAAAAAGAACACAATGGTCGAAAGTTAAAAGACATCCTTGATCTTTCAAAAACATCACGATTGGTAAAAATGCTATAGCTCCATGAACAAAGCTCGCCGCAATAGCCCACTTGCAGAAAAACATCCTAGAATTCTGCGCTATAAATCCTGACATTTAAAAGAAAAAAATAAATGGTCCTCTGAGAACCACAATTTTTTTAATATAAAAATTAGGTACACTTTTGACACAGCAATTTTGATATTGTGTAAGTAAAACCATTCTATGCAAGAAATGATCAAAGACATAAAGTTTATTTTAGTCTCATTTTGTGCAGAATTCAATTCTCTATCTTGTACGGTAACTGAGGTAGATTGCAAGTGCGGGAACGTAAATACTGAGAAAAAATGAGTTTTCAGCAGAGAGGTAGTCCGCTTATTTGTATTTTTCTCACTTTCTATACCTCTTCAATGGAAAATGAAGGCATATTTGGAATCAGTAGACAAAACCGAATCGAATCATGTGTCACTCAAAGGTTTTTAAGAACAAATACTTTTCGATGAATTTTTGGCTGAAGTTCTTTAAAAGCAAAAATTTATCGAAAAATAATTGCTCTTAAAAACCTTTGAGTGACACATGATTCGATTCGGTTTTGTCTGCTGATTCCAATATCAGAAAACAAAAACACAACCTATTATTCCCTTGACTGAAAGTCTTGGGTCATACAAACGAAATGTCCGTCCGTCCTTCCGTGTAGAATAGTAGAGTAGTGACACCTGACGCCACTTGAACGTAAATTAGCGACATATTGACATTCGAGGAGGAAAAACACGTAATTACTACTTTTCTCAACAGCAGGACATCCTAGATCTGCGAGCCCTGAATAAAAAGTGTCAGCTGTGTTGCTGTGTATCGGTTTTCGTTGTCAGTGTATATCGTTGGTAGTACTGTTGTGGTGGAAGCGGTTGGTTTGGTGCGATACCTGACAGTACGCGTTTGTGTCGTGTTTCGTAGTTGTATGCGCTTTGTAGTTTTGTGTGATTGTGCTTTCTATAGTGTCGGTAGCTATATACTGCTGCTGGGGTGAAGATTCATGTATAGTGTACGGAGGTTTTGGTGTTGTTGTGCCACTCAATCTTTGCCTCGTCTGTTTTCGGTATTAGTTTTGTTTTTGGGCGGACTGTATCGTGTGTTTTCGGAATGAAGGAAGAACTGCCGAAAGGGTTGGCAATGACTTGTTCGTTGATGTTGATTAGAATGTTTGGTGTTGACGCGTATCGCGCCGTCTGCTAGCTTCTAAGAAGTAATACGAATATTTTCCTCATTTTGGACTATTTGCAAACGATTAAAAGTTTTTCGCAGTGACTTCTATACGTATCAAAATCAGTTTTAAGTAGATAACTGGAGTAGTTTTATTCAATCATACCGAAGACAACAAAATTCATTTTCTGTAAGT